GCAGAGCGATGCAGGCGAACCCGAGCACGGGGTCCCACACGGAGGCGGCGTGGACGTTCCGGAAGATGGAGATCCACTGCTGCAGGAACGTGCTGCCGCTGACGGAGATGGCGAACAGGTCCTTGACCTGGCTGGTGGCGATCATGAGCGCGACGGCCGACGTGAAGCCGGACGACACGGGCCCCGACACGAAGTTGATGAGGAAGCCGAGCCCCAGCACGCCCATGAGCAGCTCCACCAGCCCGGCCAGGAACGTGAGCAGCACGGCCTTCTCCAGCGAGCCGCCCGCCACCTGCCACGTCAGCAGCGACGCGATGGCCGTGGGGCCGGCGGGCACGGCGCGGCAGCCGCCCAGCACGATGTAGATGAAGCAGCCCAGGAACGAGCCGTACAGCCCCTGCTGCGGCGGCAGCCCCGCGATGTTGGAGTACGCCAGCGACTGCGGGATCACCGTCAGCCCCACCGTGATGCCGGCGATCAGGTCGCCTATCGCTTTTTCCGTGTTGTATCTGTTGAAACAGGGCGCATCGATTGATCCTCCGCGTTCGATTGTTCATTATATTTTTGTGTAAAACTCGGTTCAAACTACTCACTGTGGCATCCATGCTGTGATGGGCAACCGTTTGTGAAGCGTCTTACGGTTGAATCGGCGACGTAACGCTGATCGCCAACCTTCTTTGTTTCCGCCGTCTGACACTGTACAAACAATAATTCAATTAGCTTTCCTAAAAATAAAAACACAACTCATAACATGTAAATGGCAATTTAGAATTATAGGTAGGTACAGCTGGGACTCAATGCATCTGTATCGTCGATCTTACCGTTTAGTAAACTTTTAGTAAAGGGGTTGTGGAATAACCCCCAGCCAATTGATTCGCTCCATTATTGGGTGATTGTGAACTTTTCTTCGAGAAATCATATGCTATGAAATGAATGGAATTTATGTCGTCTTCTAGTCTTTATGCTATTTTCTTAGTTACCAGGTGCGTAGCAATAGTTTAGTGAGACACTTGTCTCTATACTGATGCACTATGGCCAGTATTAGGTAACCACTCCCATGCATGAACTACACTCAAGATTTCTTAGTTATGATTGGTCCTGATCGGTCCAATGATGACGGTCAACCAATCTCCTGAGTTTGAGCGTCGTGTCGTATTACTATAGGGCCTAAGTGCGCTATGCTGCATGAGTGGCGGGCGGCGGCGAAGGTGTGAGCGCCTCGGGAGCGAGCGCAGCAGGCGCGGGCGCGCGGGCCAAGTTCACGGGCAGGCGGCGGGTGCCGCGGCGTCTGGCGCCTCCGAGCCCGCGCTGTAGCGGAAGGTCGCCGCGCGTACGCATTCGTCACGTTCGGCTGCCGTCACGCTGCGACTCCGACGCTAACCGGATCACTATCGACGATCGTAAAACCATAATGCATAATTAACGGTTTCGGTCGGAGCTACTCACGTATGTAGTCGTTGCTGGCATGCTTATCGTCGGGCGGCGGGATGGAGCCCGACGAGGCATTGTGTTTTCTTCTAGGGATCATTCTGAAAAGGAACAAAAATGAGTTTTTTAATTACCGTAATAGAGAGAATAAAATCAATGGAATGCTCAAACTTTTGTCTAAAAAGCAATAAAACCAAACAATGACTCATACGCGCACATATTCCATACATAAAATATTTGTAAGTAAGTAGTAATCATTTATCGTTCTTGAACTGTAATTGAATACCTATTCAGTTGTATTTGTTCAGATGGCCAGTCCATCTATTTTCGACTGTGGATTTTCACGTGATGCTAATTTCATTTGAATATATACATCTAATCGAGGATGTGTTGGCTGGCCTGGCACAAATATTAGTTACCTAAAATGTGAAAGCTTTTTTATACCTGATAAAAATAAATTAATTCTGCACAGCTTCAATGCCACGTGTTTTTAATTAAGTTCAACATAATTCAGAGTTGACTCCAAGAGATATAACCTTTAAGGAGCATATGTACCTATCAGTAAGAATGTTTTGATACAATCAATACTAATTGTACTTATTACCATGCGCCTGCACAGCAGCGCGTTGTGTGCGCTCATGTGACCGCGCACTTAACGATCTGACTGAACTACCTATCTCCGATTACAAATGACACACTTGATTAAAGATTTGAAACGCGCTGATACCTTCTTGTAAATGACTATCGAAAAGCATAACATAAATACGAGTAATTTAAACAAAGCGAATATTTATTCCGTTTCAAATCTGCGTATCTAATACGTCGGTGTCTTGGTGGTAATTTCGCATATCATCATTTTGTTTATCAGATAGACTGTTTTATACTATAGTAACAGATTTTGATTGATCATACAATATTTGGAAATAGGAAGAATTTTCCACACATGGATTTGTTGAAAACAGTTCGAAGAAGAGTCGCGAGGGTAATGGGAAACTATCATGCAATTTTTGTCTCGATGGAGAGCTTCACAAAACAACATCGTGATTTGCGTGCGTAATTTTTTTATTAAAGCAACGGACTATTTGAACCCCTATTTGAAAAAATTTTGGCCCACCCTATATTTGTTCCATTTCTTAGTCTTAATAAACAATTAAATATCGCTTGTAATATTTTACACTGATTTAGGTAATTCTAATACTATTTTCATTAGTTGTGCACTCATTTAACACTACATAGTACAATACTCATTATTATACTATGGTAGTAATTAGCTAATCAGCTATCGAAAGGAGATAGGCACAAGCCGAGTACAATAAACACGGCACACACGCGAAACAGAATCGCCATAACGACGAATAATTGTCTAATCAATGAGGGAAACAACACCTCTAATGCTCCAACGGACTAATCAGTGTTGAGGAAAACCACGAACGGACGCAACGTGAACGCGAATGATTGTGACCTAATTAGCAGCTGCCGATACGGATCCTGCTTCCCGGCGGCAGAGCCGAGTATTGCTTTCTGAGCATTTACTATTTATACACCAGGCGGCTATCGAAGCATTCAGAATAAATAAAGATAAATATAACTGTAATAGATGGAAGTCCACGTGCTCAAAATAGTTTTGAACAAAATAAATAACCCCGGTAAATAAATGAATGCCTGCGGTCCATTTCATTACGTATTTATTTACAAAAACCCTAAACCATTCCAGCTACGGTTCTATATTGGCTCACATAAAATTCTAAATCCTATTCTTTGTCTTACTACCGATTTGTGTTCATAATAATCTCTCTTCATAATTTTATTTTTCATACTTTTTTTATTCATACATTTTTATTACTACCATCGGAGCTCATAATAGTTAGTAATCATAATTTTTTTATCAATACTGTTACTACCAAGAACCATTTAAAATACATAATTTTTAGTTTCAGATCTTTTTTCTTCATAATATTCATTGATCATATTGTTTTAATTAATAATGTTGTTACTAATAACATACTTCAACTCATAATGTTGTTGTTCAGAATAATTTACTTTATAACAGACATACTCGTATGTTTAAAAAAAATCATATATAATTTAATAGAGTAGATAAGCATGCAGAGCATGCAGCATGAAAGCAAGCATGCAGCATGCATTGGTATCTCCTCGTCTCCGGCGCTGCGGGATGTGCAGCCCTTCCGCCCTTGCGTAACGAGGCTCAGGCACCCACGCCTGCTTCCGCAGCTTCGGCTTTTTGGATCGCCATCGGCGCCTTCAGCTCCTCGGCGACCAGCCTCAGCCGCTCCAGCTCACCCGGGCGCCTGAGCCTCGTTACAGCGGGCGAGGGCTGACCTCCCTCCGCGCCTCCGGCTTTTAAATTACACTCTAGGGTTAGGGCAGACAAGACTACGTGGAGTCGGTTTTGCAGCGATTCGTTTCTGTCACGTTAGTTTTGTGGCACAAAATATTGCCTGTTTTGGACCATTTCAAATTAATTTAATGTTAAAATACGATTTAATACGAATATAGACATCATGATTTTCAATAATATGGAAAAATACACTTATGAGTAATAAATTTATGAAAACAAATATTAGGATACATCACATTTATGAATATTATAGTTATTTATTCGAATGATTATGAGTTTCGATCATTAGTGTAGAAAAATATATGAAAACAAATATTAGTAAAAACTAAGTGTATGATTAGTGATATTATGAATATCAATGATTATGTTTTTAAATATGTAGTTTATGAAGAATGATCATTATGGTATCAAATTGTATGAGAAACATTTTCGGACCTCCAATGATAGGAATTGAAAAGTTATGTAAGAAAATGCGCTACCTCCAGCTACACTTCTTGTCACAAGACATTCACACAAGTGACCGGTGAGTCACTGTCTCACTGATTGAAAAAACTTCTATGACGAGACATTTCTTGGTGCTTACGTTTAAACTTAAAGCTCTTTCATTATTGGGTTGTGTCAGTGCGACAGGCCAACAATAACCGAGTTTAAAATAGTATCAGCGTCTACCTGGGACACCGAACAAAGGAAAAGGCTGCTCCTATGGGAAACCCCACCAACCGAAGCTTCTTTATGATACTGTTCTGACTATTACACCGGCATTTTTGAGATAAGCAAAGATAAAAACCTTATATTATAGGAATCTACAGGGTGGAAACGATAACTGAACTCACTCGATTATTTCTAAACTATACAAAGATATCGATAAACTGGTGCTTCACGAGCTCTTTAACCCCTTTCAAACGGTACCAATAAATAAATAGGTTACAGAATAAACTGAATCTATCCGAAAAATCTATGTTTCCACCTTCGCACACTTTCCAACACATTTTTGAAGATTTTCAATTAATTGTCACTAATCATAACACTTTGTATAAATTTCGAAATCCGGCGAAATCACTTTTGACTGATTTCTTGCTGTCAAAAGTGGTTTTGACCGATTATGAGTTTTGACTGTACAAAAATACCATAAAAGCTAGGCTTACGTAATTCCACAAAAGCTGATAATCAGTAAAAGTAAAGTAAAGTAAAAGTATTTTGTTTATCAACAAAAAATTTACAGTCTGTTTATCTAGCGGCTGCTGCACTAAGCTGTGCTTGTGTCGCGGCAGCCTTAAGTAACACAGGTTAACAATGTTGATAAAATATAGTGAGGACACACGGTACATGGCAATTAACAGTTACATATTAAACTCTTAAGATAACTAGAATATTTTTTACTTAGACTAAACAAAAAGTAACTGAGGTAGTGTTACTTTTTGTTTAGTTTTGTTTAGTCTAAGTAAAAAATATTCTATTATAAATAATATTTGGGCAATAATTATATTATGTTTCCTCAGGCAAGAGCGATAGTTTTGACCGTTCCAAAGCCTTGCCAGGCCAGCATTTTAGGGTAGCTGACAAAGCCTGCATGATGTCGCAAACTTCATGATGATCTTTGTTGGGTTGACAAACTTTCAGCTTTTATTAAATAACGTAGGTCTGGCGATCACTGGCTCTTGCTCAATAGTGGAATTAGTTCTACGTAGATAAATTGGAATAATTGCGATAAAAAATGTGCCGACAGTAAGGCACGGCAGGTAGGAAGGCAACTTTGGCCGGGCTTGCGCCGTGCGCCGTGTTGCTTGTGGTGTTGCGCAACAGGCGCGGGCCGCTCGCCCGCGCGGGGCACGTGCTCAGATCCAGAACAAACAAACGTCGCCGTCATCGGGCTCTATTGTATACCTACTTTCTCTTTGAATTCGACACATGACAACACGATCGCTAAGGCGTAATTCACTTAATTTACTTGTTACCTATTTATTTATTTTAAGCCGAGAATGAACACTTGTAGTCACTTTACAGCTAGTAATAATAATAATAATAAATACACTTTATTGCACACCAAAGATAAGAACAGAAAGAAAAGGAACACACAAGGTACAACTAGGCGGTCTTATCGCTATGAAGCGATCTCTTCCAGACAACCTAGTTTCACTTCTTATATCCGAGTTAATAATTATTTTACTTTTATTTGAGTGATGGAATGTATTAATTACAATTTAATATAACATTACGATACGAGAAAGCTTAATTCCGTAATCCCAACTAATATTATAAATGCGAAAGTAACTCTGTCTGTCTGTCTGTTACGCTTTCCCGCTTAAACCTCGCAACCGATTTTGATGAAATTTGGCATAGAGATAGTTTGAGTCCCGGGAAAGAACATAGGATAGTTTTTATCCCGGTTTTTGAAACAGGGACGCGCGCGATAAAGTTTTTCTGTGACAGACAAAATTCCACGCGGGCGAAGCCGCGGGCGGAAAGCTAGTAATGCTATAAATGAAGCACCCGATAGTAATGCGGTTAGAGATTCGCAATATACATAATTTAACAATAATGTACATATTAACAACATTTTGAACAGATTTATCCGAACCTTATGGTTCTTTGGGTTATTCACCATAGGACCAATCCCGCCGAAACGGCTTGATAGTCACGAGTTCACGACAACTATTAAAGTAAGTAAATAAACCGATAGAGACTGGTGGGTGGTTGACTAAGGGCTGGGTTTTATATCGAGTTTTATCTTTTAACTGAAGAATAAACTTGTCATTTTGACATAATTCTCCTACTGAAACTGTCGATGTTCCAAACTTATTCTTCAGTTAAAAGTTATCCGACGATTAAAAAATCAGCTCTAAGTTTGTTCGGCGATTCTTCTCAACACTTGACAAAGCTTATTTTTTTCGTACTTTTTATGGGTAGGCCTTCCATAGCAGTTTGATTCACCCATTCTGGGACACCATGTATGTATATACGAGTAGGACATATTATCATGAATACTTTCCGCAGCCGACGCGTCTGCTGGTTGCACTCTGTTGACTAACAAGCCGACTAAGCAACGCGAACGTGTTCTTCCCTGTTCCCATAATTCCTTCGGTTCATCGTTTTAAAATAATAATGCAGATTGTCCCTTTCAATAGATATCAAAACGCAGAACAATCAAATACTAGCAAGTACCTAGGTGTTATAACTCGTAGTTTCTGAGTTTTTTTGATTGATCAGTGAGTGGTATTTAGGTATATAGGTAATTATGTTAATGTTAATGTGATTATTAATAATTTAAAATTTATCACGTTTACCGTAACATATAGATAAAGAGAAAAGATTTGTATTTTGTATGTTTGATTCTAATTATTTTTTTACCATTAGAATTCTTTTTTTTTTTCTGATTAACATGAACATATTTTTTTGATTTCTAATTCGATTTTGACTTAGTTAATTATTGGATAAATGTATTTTTATAAATCTTACAATGAATCACTACGAAGATAAATACGAGTAGGTAAAATATGTAGGTATGTTACATTCCTGAGAATTTCTTTTTTTCGTTTTTATGCCCATAGCTTTTAGTACTAATCCGTATGCCTCCATGAAACTTATATTGACAAGTTTATAGTTACTTTACCTATAATCACTGTTAAAATTTTATTTTCAAGGGAATATGGATGTCGTTCACTTCACTATTGACACTGTCACTTTGATGGATAACTTGACAATGAAATGTTTAGAAAGAATTAATCGAATATATGACAAGCTGCGCGACAGCACCGAGCGGCCGCCCGGCTGCAGCGGGCTGCACCGCGGGGAATGCCTCGCTCGCGATACGGCAATTAGGAAGTCACTTACGCCAGTTGAGATAATAAAAACAATGCGGCCGTGACTCACATTACACAGTTTACAAGACAAACAAACTCGCGGCCGGCGAGACGATGCGCCTCCTGCGGGTCCGGGCCGCGGGCGGTCAGCTGACAAAAAGAAAGCTACGGCAGCGCCGGGGGCGGCCGCGGCGCGCCCGGGCGACCCCGCCGTCTGGGACTCACTTGGACGCTGGGCGGGCGGCGGTCAGCTGCACATGCCGCGAGGACTGGAGCGAGGGCGCGGGCCGGGGCGAGCGTGCGGAGCGAGCGGGAGCGGCGCGCGTGGAGCGGGCGACGCGGGCGGCGTGGAGCGAGCGACTGGCGGCGGCTGGCGGCGGCGGGCCGAGTGCGCGCGGCCGCGGCCGGCGCGAGATGCGGCGCGCGCCGGAGGCTGCGTCACGCGCCCCCGCCCCGCCCGCCGCGCCGCCCCGCCGCCCCGCCGCGAGCCGAGCTCCATCACATCCACACGGCACACCACATCTCAGTAGCCTGCCCGAGTGGAGCGCCCGAGTGTGGTGTGGATCTCGTCACTTTCAAGTTTACTTTAATATTTTTTTATTGAAAGTAACAAGCGACCACGGGTAGGAGGCATCGTATCAGAATAAATTGCCATTCTTGCAAATCAAAATAAACTGAAAAAAGACTACCTCATTGTCACAATTTATAAGAGCTAACACTAGGTATTACAAGATACCTAGGTTACTTAGTCTTAATCGATCGTGTCACACACAAGATAATGAAAAGTTATTTTAAAATGTATTGCGCTCGACAAATACATACATCATTTAAATATAAATGATCTAACCACGATAATTATTGCATATTTACGAGCATCCAGCCTACGGCTTGTGCTACGGCCGCGCGCCGCGTTTTCGTCACATACTTTTACGGACTTGAAAGCTCCGCCAATTTCGTAACGTAACCGCAACCTATTTACAAAATAACGACCGTTAAACATATTTGTTAATCAGTTGATAAAATGATTATTTATGTGATACAATTTTGTCATTGAATAATGCCATACTTAGGTGTAAATTGCAGATATGAATCATTTAGGTTCGATACGATATTTCAGCGATAGAAATGAGGTTAGCCGTCGAGCCGGGAGCCAACCTTGACCTTGGCTCCCGGAGGGTCTCGGGCTGGGAGCTGGCGCGCTGCCAAGTGCCAACAGACAGTCGTCAGGAGGTCTACGCTACGGGGAATAAACATCACAGATAAAACTTATTTATTTTTTGGAAGTAGGCTTTTAAAAACGAACGCTTTTGTAACGATAAAACGATAATTTGGTTAGAGGTATAATTTTATGATATTATGAGATTTTGTAAATAAGACATACATAGGAATCACACCTGTATGAAAATATTAATAATAAAAAAATCTTTATTAAAATTAATAAATGTTTTGAAAATTGAATTCTCGCGGCCGCACCCGCGCGCACGGGGCGCTGCGCACGCGTTGAACTCTTTCGTTCGCGCGGGCGCACGCAGGCACACACGGCACACGCAGGCCGCGCCCGGCCGCGACACTAACATTTATTGCTGTATAAATACCGGGTTTTATTTTTATACTTGATCAAACATGACATAAAAAAAAGGTTGATTCTAATCGCATTGAAAATTTTTGAAGTTAAAGTTAAAATATAACATCATTTTCATTTACTTGTTTTTAATAGATATCCAAACAGTTGACAGTATTTATTATTATGTAAACAAATGAGCACGGGGCGCCTTCCCCCCGCGCTGATAGCAATCATCGCGGTCGTGTCGGCGGCTCCTACACTCGTGATTTGCTGCTAGTTTCAGAGCCGACATTGCATGTGTCCAAATTCCAATGACTCAATTAAATGACAGAAATTACGCAACGGTCGATAACAACATAATCAGTATCCAGTATCGTCTCTCGAGCAAGGAGACGCTGGCGACTGAAGGAGCGCTTTGTGACGTGACTAATGACTTATTTATGCGACCGTTAATAAATCTTATGTGCCGCATCAAGTCCGTCACGTGACGGCTCCTCGCCCCGCGCCGCTGTGCGCTGCACCGACAGCACATTCCGTAAATCTCCTGCGCAGCATGCCGCGTGTGGGCCGGCCCGTACGGCACGCGCTCGCGCTGATACGACACGTCCACTTGACAGTACCTAATCACTTCACACAGTTGGAATATCAACATTTTTCTATTAAAATTTTATTAGCGTATTACGTATCTGGGATGGCGCTTTTGCCAATTAATAATTTATCTCACCAAGATCTACAGATCAACGATTAATTTATATTAAAAGCCAATAACAAAATGACCGGTTTCAACAAGAAAAACTAACATAAACTCGCATGATGATTAAGCCGGTGATATTTAAACTTACGTCACTGAACTGAAAAATTCAAAATAGGGATGAGCGTCTCTCATTTTATGGGTCATCGGCGTTAATAATTGAACTGTGACGTTGGGTACAGAAAAATTAATGAGGCGTGCGCTTCGCGCAGCCGGGCCAGTGGCCACGGTGCAGCGCGGCGACCGCAGGCGGGCGCACTGAAGGCTCTCGCGTGGCGCGGGCGCGGGGTCGTCGACCCGCGTGCGCGGGCGCCGCGAGGGCGAGGGCGGGCCCGCGGCCGGGCGCGCGGGCTCGCGGGGCGAAGGGCCAGGCGGCGATCATGTGACTCCGCGGGGGGCGCGGGCCCCTCCACCCACTCGGCGGCGCTGACGTCACGTGAGTCATCACGCAGGTTCTGGTTTAGAAAGTCTTTCTTCGTGTTACCGTTTCTCCGCAGGTGTGAGCGTGCTGTATACTGACTGACTGATGGTAGATCGCAATGAATGCGAGTGATTCCACAATACTTGTGGCACCTACTCATCTAATAATAGTTTTTAAAACTAAAAACACGCTTTTAATTACTGCACAAAAAGAACAAACTTGATAAGTTTCCGTCGTTTCATCTAGGAATACCTATGGACAGTATGGACACCTCTCGACTCCATCATCAGGACCCTGCTGGACATCATCTAGCAAATATCTCGAAAAGACAAATACAATGAACCCCAACTCATTTTCGTTTAGGAGTTCCTATGGCCATCTTCCAGTCCCATCATCAGAGCAGCTCGATGGTACCATAATATTGTATTGTCATCTAATCTACATATAATTGCCAAGTTTCATGATGATACAAGAATTAGAAGTGCGTGTAATTCAGATTCTCAGATTCCATTACATAGTTACATACCCGAGGAACTAATATAAGCGTGTTAAAAAAAAGTGCCTACTTTATTTGAAATTAGTTAAGCTGCTATCAAAAACATAAACTAATTTAATTTTCTGATTCTAGAGCAGAAACCAGTTTAGTGCCAAACAGGCAACCGCAAACCCCTCCGAATCAATCACGAGCTGATAGCTGAAG